AGAAATGTGATTTGAGTGTGGAAGATTTTGGTGTTTTAACAAGTCTTAAACATTTATCCTTAGACTCCTGTGGTGGTCTAACATTTGCCAATTTTCAACAGATATTGGGTGCTTTAACTTTGAAATCATTTGCCATGATTAATACTCGCATTTTTGGCAATATAAATCATATATATGTTTCACCTACTTTGGAAAAGATCAGCATTGACACCATACGCTTTACCCAGATATCGGAAGCTTTTCAAAAATCACTTAATAATTTTGAAAGTCTACACACCTTAGAGTGGTTAAATGGCGACATAAATGATAATTGGATTATAGATAAATGCCCTAAATTGAAATATCTACACATACCCAATCCGTATTTATTAAGACGTATTGTTTTCACCATGAAATCCCTCAAAGAATTGACCTTTACTTCGTGTACGGGTCTGTCGTGGTGTTTTATATTGATTTTAATACGCAACTTAAAACTAGAACGTTTGTGTCTGCAGACCAATGAACTGATAGATGATGACAAAGAAATTCCTTTTAATGCCTGCGGTATAAAAACAACATTGCGCATGATAACTATACCATGTAATATTTTTAAAATGGCTCAGTCATTTTGGCTTGATCTGATGTATTTGAATGTCGATTTACATTATTTGATTTATGGCAAACATGAAGAATTATTGGATGGTATATTTCTGGATGAGTTGATTTTCTGTGAGAGGTTTTGTCGTCGCGTCAAGTGGATAAAGATTTGCGGTTATAAATTGGGTAAAGTATATATTGTATTCTAAATTGACTTAGAATGATATTCTATTATGCAGAAGGCAAGAACTAGAACAGAACTAGAGCAGTACTAGAACATAACTGGACAGAACTAGAATAGAACTAGAACAGAACTAGAACAGAACTAGAACAGAACTAGAACTGAACTAGAACTGAACTAGAACTGAACTAGAACTGAACTAGAACTGAACTAGAACAGAACTAGAACAGAACTAGAACAGAACTAGAACAGAACTAGAACAGAACTAGAACAGAACTAGAACAGAACTAGAACAGAACTAGAACAAAGTAGAACAGAACTAGAACAGAACTAGAACAGAACTAGAACAGAACTAGAACAGAACTAGAACAGAACTAGAACAGAACTAGAACAGAACAGAACAGAACTAGAACAGAACTAGAACAGAACTAGAACAGAACTAGAACAGAACTAGAACTGAACTAGAACTGAACTAGAACTGAACTAGAACTGAACTAGAACTGAACTAGAACTGAACTAGAACTGAACTAGAACTGAACTAGAACTGAACTAGAACTGAACTAGAACTGAACTAGAACTGAACTAGAACTGAACTAGAACTGAACTAGAACTGAACTAGAACAGAACTAGAACATAACTAGAACAGAACTAGAACAGAACTAGAACAAAAGTAGAACAGAACTAGAACAGAACAGAACTAGAACAGAACTAGAACAGAACTAGAACAGAACTAGAACAGAACTAGAACTAGAACTTGAACAGAACTAGAACATAACTAGAACAGAACTAGAACAGAACTAGAACAGAACTAGAACAGAACTAGAACAGAACTAGAACAGAACTAGAACAGAACTAGAACAGAACTAGAACAGAACTAGAACAGAACTAGAACAGAACTAGAACAGAACTAGAACAGAACTAGAACAGAACTAGAACAGAACTAGAACAGAACTAGAACAGAACTAGAACAGAACTAGAACAGAACTAGAACAGAACTAGAACAGAACTAGAACAGAACTAGAACAGAACTAGAACAGAACTAGAACTGAACTAGGACTGAACTAGAACTGAACTAGAACTGAACTAGAACTGAACTAGTACTGAACTAGAACTGAACTAGAACTGAACTAGAACTGAACTAGAACTGAACTAGAACTGAACTAGAACTGAACTAGAACTGAACTAGAACTGAACTAGAACTGAACTAGAACTGAACTAGAACTGAACTAGAACTGAACTAGAACTGAACTAGAACTGAACTAGAACTGAACTAGAACTGAATTAGAACAGAAATAGAACCTTTTTGTAAAAAAAATTTAGAGGTTGTATCGAATATCTCCGTTATTTGTAGTCCGATTTGTGGATTTTAAATAGTATTTTTTTAATTCATGTGTGATAGAATTATTGGAGATTCAGATCATGAAATATCTGAGGTCTCCTGAAAACTAATCTGAATATAGATAGACGAACGAGGCTATGACGGACGAGGAATGACACGGAATGAAGGGTATACAAAGAGGGTGTATGAACCTTAATAACATGAAAATCTTCTGTATTACTAAGCAATCTTTAAAATATACCCTTCTTAAAATACAAATGAATGTTGCTACCGATGAATAAAAATTGTAATTATAAAGACAAAACCACAGATCTTAGACATGATATTAAATATAAATTTTCCTTATTTAACACAAGTATTTTACAAACATTGTCTCTGATAAACAGTTTTAAACAAGATCTTGAACAATAAAGACGACAAAACAATTTTAGTTGATAAATAGACATGAATATTCGCTTACAAAAGGCGTGTTTTAATGTCTTTAAATCGGATAATATTTTGGAAAATATTTTCAAATTCTTAAATTTAAGTGAACAATTGAATTAGTGAGCGTGTGCAAACGTTTCGAATACTTCTTAACCAACAATTATGGCCAAAATTTATCCAAACATAAATTTATATTTAGACATGATATACACATTATTACCATTATAACAAATAAGGAAAACAGACATGGGATGGATGTGGACTTAGTGGAAGGAAGGAAAACCAAAATGGTATTATCACCTAAAGAACTAGTACATTTTCTACATTTACAAGCTAAACATGTTAAGACCTTAAAATTGCACTCGGAATACCAGCAGCAAGATATATGTCTTTCCTTTGAAAATATGCGAATATTTAGTAATTTAGCAGAACTTACTTATCACCGGCTATGTGTCGACGATGAACAATTAAGAGTGCTGGCGAAGAAATGTAAAAATTTACAAAAATTACATTTACTGGAATGTTACTGTCAAAATCTCTCACCTCTTATACCAGGAGTTCACTTAAATTTGAACATTTTAAACGATATGCAGCAGTTAGAGGAACTTGTCATACGAGCAGAGGCTCAAGCCAATATAGTGATGAGATCTCATGATCTTCAAGTTATATTACTGAATACA